TGTGTGTGTGTGTGCGTGTTTTCAGGCAGACATTTAGTTAAGGCAGGTGGAGTGATTGTCTACGACAACTTGAAATGGTGGAGGCTGCCACGTCAATGGACGAACATGTGGGAAAATTGAGCTGCACAATATTACAAACACTGTTTGTATGTGTCTTTGTCTTTCAGCCGGTCCCCTTGTGACAGCGCCAGTGAATATCAGTTACATTGTCATCATCGCATCGAGTCATGTGCTTTTTAAAAAGGGTGTGTCACCTCTAAGAAATCTGCCCAGTATGGGACAAAATAGTGTTACTTTGCAACACAGTAAATGCCACTGACTGCTACAAGTACACAGTGCAGTGTCTTAGAGCCATACTTTAGGTTCCTGATACTGTGTATAAGGCTGATAAGGTCTGTAGTCTCATCCACTGGTTGTCTAATGATAAATTCTGTTTTAAATATGCACTTTATTTATTGTATTATTTATAGGATTCATGAATTGGTGATATGAAAATTGTGTTCATCATGTTAAATACTGTCTCTCTCATAGACTGGTCCTATCATATCAGCTTCAGTACAAACATACCATTATCAGCCTTCACACACTCTGATCAGTCAACCCCTGGTCCACATACAGTACAGTGTGTTGAAAAGTGACACAAATGTGAGTATGAATGTGACATCTTTATTTTTGGGGGTCTATTGTGTCTCGAGGCATTGACCCACAGATACATGAAATTTTACAAAGAAACTTGGAACCAAATAGTGCCAGATGCATCTTTCCCCTCCCTGTGTCATCTCTGAGGCACAAACACTTCCAGATGCTTCCTTTTTCTCTACGAGTTAACTTCAAGAAAGAAAAATGCTGTCTTTGTCACTAAGATCTCCCTCATCATTTGCACATTCATGCGTGAATGCTCCTATCTGCCCTGGCTTCCTTTTACTTTTTTACCCACAAAGCACTGCTGTGTGTAGTTTTACTCTCATTCTCACTCACTCCTCCTGTCTTTACCGTCTTATCCGTCTCTCTCCCTTTCTTTTTCTGTTTTTCTGGGTAGGGGTTTGATGAATTACTGAATAAGAATGTATTTTTCTTAACATATCTGGCTTTGATATATCAATATATTAACATCTAAATAGATTAAATCATAACTATATTGAACCCCATAGAGCTTTCAAATTTTTCTGTACGGTTGTTGACAAAAAAAGAAGTGCAGAGATAAGAGCAGTGCTAATCTAGTCTAACGAGACCACAGTGTGTCATGTTATCCTGAAGTCTCTCTAAAAAGAACCTAAACAATAATAATAATAATCTAAACAGTGTTGGTGGCCTTGGAATCATAAAGTTGCATCTGACATTTGGGTCAAAACAATGGCAAATTTTTTACACTAAAATTTGACTTCTGAAAAGAGGCTATAAAATCTGCCGTAAAAAGTGCACTTTAGCTCACCCAGCAAGCATTCAACAGGTCTAACACCTGGCAATAGTCCCATCCTGTGATGTAAACGCCAGACTACCCAGCACCAGATCTCACAATAGAATTCTTATCAAAGTGGCGTTGTGAACTGTTTTACAGTAATATCTGTAACATATTTAAGTGTGGATGTTTCAAAATTATGTAGTTCTCCACAGTCATTTTGACACCATGTTTTCAAGACTAATGTCTAAATGTTTGCTGGGCAGCTCTAGAAAATCTTGTTATGTTGGACTCGTAATATTTGATCAGAGAAGATATAATGTAACTCTGTAAGGCAGATCTAACGTTAGGTTTTTGAAAACAGGGTAAAAAATCCAGTTTATAAAGGTCACATTAATGTAGCTCTGCAGGATATGAAAACATTAACATTCAAAATCTACCTTGAATACAGATGGAGCTCTATAATTCCAAACTCTAAAGAAAATGTTTTCTTTCTAACTCAAACAAAAGCCCTCACAAAGATCCCAACCTGTCTATCTTCATTTTATTTTTTCATCTTACTCACACTTTCCCTCACACACACACACACACAGTCTCACCTAGAGAAACAACACATGACAGTGGAGCATCCCCTCACACACACGCTCGCTTGGCATGCAGCATCTCTATGAGCAGGTTGTTGCAGGGAACCTCTCCGCTCAGATGCATGTAGCACAGGTAGTCCTCTGCCTGCGTGCTGAGGGAGCGCAGCTCTGGCAGCCGCACCCCCAGCTGGCTGAACTTCTCCTGGAACTGAGGGTAGGTGGACAGGGTGTACTCCAGCAGAGCCCCGTTCACCTGTTCCTGGACACCCTCCACGAATGCCTGGTCCTCCAGCAGTTTTACATCTGCACACACACAGAGGACGAACATGGATCATGACCCAGTGAAAGGAGCAGAGTCAGTAGTGAATCCCTTAAACATCACAGACCTTCCAGTGTGTTTGTCAGACACTGGTTTCAAGGTAATACTGTACAAATAATCTGTAATATTAGGTATAGTGATTAATTCAGGTCAACCCCCAGAGGTTCTTTGTTCAGATCTAGGAGCACATACTCAGCGTATAGAAAGATGCTGGGGGCGGCTGTGGCAGAGCGGGTCGTCCCCTAATCGGAAGGTTGTTGGTTCGATCCCTCCTGGCGCCACATGTCAAAGTATCCTTGAGCAAGATACTGAACCCCGAATTGCTCCCGATGCATAGCATCGTTGTGTGAATGTGT